AGTTGGGTTCCAAAATTAATCTTTATTTGATTTCAACAAAAATTGAATATATGGGGTTCTTTGATATGCTGAATCTAACCATGTATTTTGATTTTTGGGCCCCGTCATCAAATTGGTCCACATTGAGGTCAAAAGGGTCCAAAATTAAACTTTGTTTGATTTCATCAAAAATTGAATTCTTTGGATTCTTTGATATGCTGAATCTAACCGTGTATTTTGATTTTGGACATTGGACCATAATAGGTAAATTAAAAATATTTCTTAGACCACATTCTTTCTGTGTCAGAAACATATGCTGTGTCAAATATTTAATCACAATCCAAATTCAGAGCTGTATCAAGCTTGAATGTTGTGTCCATACTTGCCCCAACTGTTCAGGGTTCGACCTCTGGGGTCGTATCAAGCTGCGCCCAGCGAAGCATTTTATTTATATATGTTACTTTATTTCAATAAACAAATGTACAAAAAAAAAAGATTGACAATAAGATAATGAGGACAGCCTACTTGGCAGCCAAGAAAGCAGCTCTTAGGAAGATAGTCAATTAAATCTTCAACCATGTCTGAGGATTTACCGTGAACAATTAATATGTGGTAAGTTTGAAAATTTCACCAAATTTATTGTAATAATACAAGTGTGGACACAGATGAATGTGGATAGTATGTTTGGATGTTTGACAGTGTTTTATATGACAAAAGGAGTTCTATGTTTTTCCTACATGTTGTTATTAACTGTATGGCACGATGACAACCAACCTGAGCATGAGGAGTGTTGTTTATTTAATATTTAGATTTTATGTTCAAGACGGGCATGGAAGAGACACTAATTGCATTAATTACCAAATGATTATGATAGAATATTTTCCACATCTTTGATTTTGGATACATTTTGTAGCTAGGAGAGCAACACATAATAGGTTCATTTTTTCATGTGATTTTTTTTTAAATGGGAGATGATATCTGAGAACATGATATCAGGAGGCTGTAATTCAGTGGTTGTCGTTTGTCTATGTGTTACATAATATTTGTTTTTCGTTTATTTTGTGTACATAAATGACTATGTGTTATGGGCTTTGCTCATTGTTGAAGGCTGTACGGTGACCCGTAGTTGTTAATTTCTGTGTCATTTTGGTCTGTTGTGGAGAATTGTCTCATTGGCAATCATACCACATCTTTTTTATATGTATTTGCTCAATATTTGTATGGTTCTATTTATATTACTTTGTGGTGGATTTTAAGTATCATTAGTAAAATATTTTGTTAAAATGTCGAAATTGTTTCTCAGATTAGAAGACATTTATTGGTTTTAAGAATGACAATGCCTGACATGATGCTTGGGGCTAGAAGAGCTAGAAAGTAAACTTCTGTGTTGTTTTTTATCAATTCTTTGATAACATCTCCTCCAAAGCTGGCAGAAGCAAAAAAAAGTTTTGACCAATATGAAAATGATATCAACAAAAAAACCTTTGTGAGCATGCTTCAAAGACTCATAACTGCTCCAAAAGTAATCTGATAGAATTTCAAGCATGTCAAGTTGGTATTATGAAAATCTACTTAATATGTCTAAATATCAAAAAAGTTATAGTATTCAATATGAAAAAGGTATTGCAAAATTATTCTCTTTTCAATTTTTTTTGTTATATGGATACAAATATAAATGATACCAATACAGTATTTGTTGTGGTATGAAAGTGTAGTAATTAACATTTACTGTAACAATGTTAATCCACACAAATTAAAAAATAAACAAATGAATGAAAAATGTTGAACATGTACAATGAAATATATAGTTTTAGAAATCAATTAGGCTACATTGTAGATAGGCCTTATAAATTTTGCCCTTTTTTTTTAACATACTGAATGACCATTTACACTCAGGACCGAGTCATCAGTAGGCAGTACAGATGTATTAAAACAACCTAGCATCATATTGCTAGTAGCGAGTGTAGCATTGTCGGGTAAATTTGTTCTTTTTTTTAAATTTGGTTAATGGACAAAAAATGTTTGGTTCAAATCATAATAAAATGCTTTTATCTCCTTATTACTTACATTGTACATAGAATGGATACTACCCTGACAAATCCTTGTACATGAGAGTTGTCTGTCAAATCTTTATTTCACAAAGAATGAATTGCATAACAATGAACTGAGCTCAAAGCAAAGCACTTTAATAAAACACTTAGACAAAGAGTTCAATCCAGTGATATACTTTGTACTACAGGTCCTTCATGAACATCCTATCCACCAAAACCATATCTCACAAACATGCCATACTACATGGTTGGATCAGAGGTCCTGAAAAAGACATGAATTTTATTATCGTATTTTAATTATATATACACAGGTTAAAAGTTATATACTCCAATGGCAGTCTTTCCTGCTAAAATGTCATGTGTAGAATGTGATATACCATTTTTGGGTCTATATGGGTACTGTTCTTTATATTTATTAGGTCATTTTGACACAGCAAAATATATAGAAAATGTTAACTTTGAGCTGGAAATTGAGTTCTTTTTCGCAAAATAAACCCACTAAAACTAAACTTCGAATGCAAAAGACCCCTAAATGGCTAACAGATATTGCTTTAAAGAATAGTCCATATGATTCTTGTTATTAAAAGAGTTCATGAAATGTACACCGATTCTGTCAGTTGAATGGACTAGAATGAGATAAGTTATATAAACAAAGGTGTTTTCAACAGCTGTGGTGTAAATTAAATCAGTTTTATTTTATGGTTGACATATTTAAGTATATATGTAGATCATTGGCTTTTCAACACATTGATATTTTACAATATCGATTATCTATTTATTGTTATGTTGTTGGTATTTTTCACCTTCCTAAAACAGTTTTAACACAACATGAACACAAGCTTGATAGATCTTGATAGGGTGTCCTCACATATTTTGACGTTGCTGAAAAATTTTGGTTGACACATGTATCCTCTTCTCATCATTTTTCGTGCTATTAAGAATGCATACTGTCGTCACAATTTCCATTGAAAAGGCATGCATAGTACAAATTCATGTGACGTACGAAAACATATGATCTGACCATATACATGTACATGTATGTATAGGTTATCAGCTTTTCTACACATATTAGCCAGTAAGCCGCAATGAACCTATTATGGCGAATGAGCGCAGGTAATGAGCTAAAATGAATCAAATTGTGTCCTCAGTGGGGGATATTTTAAGGGATCTATATGAAGAAAACCTGATCATCTGTTTATCGTTCTATTACTGGCTTTTTCATCTCACTAATTTGGCCCGAGACAGTTTTTACAGACGAAAGGAAGCTTGATAACTACTCCTCACACACATGTATAGATTATCGGCTTTTCTACACGAGTCATGAATATCGTAAAATGTTAGCCAGTGAGCAGGCCCGCAATGAACCTTTTTAGCGAGTGAGCCCAGCTAATGAGCTAAAATGAATCAAATTGTGTACTCAGTCACAGTTGGTGATATTTTAAGGTATCTACACAAAGAAAACCTGCTTATATAAATCTCAGTGGCAGATCCACAACTTTTCATAAAAGGGGGGTGGCCGCTGACTGACCTAAGGGTTGCCCACTCCCGTCATGCTTCCCCAGTGGCGGATCCGGGGGAGGGTTCCGAGGGTTGAAACCCCCCTTTTTTTGGACGATCAATGCATTTGAATGGGGACACATAGTTGGAACACAACCCCCACACCCATTGTCCTGAGTTGGGAACCCCCCTTTTATAAAATGGCTGGATCCGCCCCTGCTTCCCTATAAAATCAACCAAATTTTCCCCACCCCCTGGATCCGTCTATGTAACTGTTTATCGTTCTGCGTAATACTGGCTTTTTCACCTCCCTTACTTGGCCCTAGACAGTTGCTTATCTCAATATCTGTTTATCGTTCTGTCACTGGCTTTTTTTAGACTAGAGACTCCATGTGTACAAACCTGACGTCAAACTCGTGTACTATAAAAGAAGAGACAAATGATTTCACATTAAATCCTGTAACATTACATCTAAAGATAATTATAATCCAAAGTAAATTATATTACGATGTCAATGGACTAAATTCCCGCGCAAATGTCATCACTGGGATAGACCAAAACGAATTTTAGTGTTAGGTTTATGTATCATCACATTCCGATCAATTTACTCAGTTACATAAAATATATGTGTTAACTATTTTTATATTGGTTTTGAATTTAGTTAATATATCAGAAAAAAAGATTTATTTCTCGCAGATAGCCCTCAATACTATACACCTACTCGACACTGAAGCTAAAAAAACCTAAAACATAATAGTATATGGAATCGTCCAAACGGATTACCTAATATTGATATAGGTGAAATATGTAGATTCAGAATTGTGTACACAGAAATAAGATCAGAAATAAAGCCCTATGTAAGGTGAAAACAATAACACAACTGTATAAAATCATTGTTTATTAAATTTGCTTGCATAAGAACCATGAAGTTAAAATTTATAACGATTACGTTTATCCTGTCAACCCCTTTTCTTCATTGCATCAAGGCTTCCGTTGCTTTACATCGAGCAGCAATTCAACCATTCGGGGAATGTTAAGTTGGGACATACCTCTATTTTTGGAAGCGTGATCTTTACATCGAGGCTTGCGTTGCTTTACACCGAGGCCACAGTAGTTCGACCAATCGGGGAATGTTTATTTGGGGCATGTGACCTATTGAACTGCAGGTTTTATAATATTTTAATCGAAATTGTAGAAAAATGAAATGTTGTTAGTACATACAAAATAGAAAATGATGAATACTTTTAGTAAAAGATAATTTGGATCCGGGTTCTGTGTATTCACATCATTTGTACAACTCTCCTTACTGATGCCATTTTTTGGAATTTCTGTGACCTAAATGGTTCGCGAAAATTAATATTTTATTATATAGTATATTAAATATTACAAGCATTTACAATTATTTTTATGTCTCCACTGTAGCGGAGAGGCATTAAGGTTTACCCTTGTCCGTAATTACGTAAGTCCTGAAATTGGTTTCCGTTCTCCAACTTTAGTTTACCTCAACCAAATGTTATGAAACTTATACACAATGGTTATTAACACAAAACTTAGATCAAGTATGAATTTGGGTGATGTCACTTTTACCGTTCTGGAGTTATGTCCCTTTATAACGTTATATGCAAGCAGGGGCATCACATTCTCCATTTATTTTCTTAATTAATGCTTCATTTCTATCAGTTTGAGTTTGAGGTATCTACATCATCCATAACATATTTTTTGTTTTAAACCATAATCATTTAATTGTATTAGATGCATTTGTTTTCTAACCTTTGGTATCAATATAAAAATAGAAGATATTTGTGGTATGATTGCCAATGATACAATTATCCACCACAATTAAAATGAAGTGAATGTAAGCAATAATTTATAGACAACCATACAGCCTTCAACAATGAGAAAAACCCATGCCGTATAGTCTGTATCAAGTTTATATATTGGAGATGATAATATACAACAATTTTGTATGTAATAAAACACAGCATGATTATGTTAAAATGTTTTTAAACATGTATATTTTCCTTATTTTTTAGGTAGTAATGAGAATGTTTTCATGGTGCTGGGAGTAAGACTTGGAGATCTGATACTGTTTACATGTTGGTAGGTATTCAAGCTTTTTGGAATAATAATATAAATTCTTTGACATCAATTTTATAAAGTACCAAAACATTAATTATAATGTAAAATGAGTATATTTTGTTAAATACCAATTTCTCCGGATATTTGAAGTGCTCCAATACATCTTCATTTTTTTTATTTTCAAATTTTAAGCTATGAATTTATGTTGCGAATACCAAAATTTTTTTTATAGTCCCCTACCGACAAAGTCGAAGGGGACTTTAGGTTTGCACTCTGTCTGTCTGTCCTGTCTGTCTATCCGTCTGTCCATCCGTCAGTCTGGCAACTCAGTTTTCCACACTTTTTTTCTTCGTTCTTGAAGATATTGATTTGATATTTGGTATATAGTTTTATCATGACAAGTTATAGATCAAGTTCGAATTTTATTCTGGTCTGATGATTTAGTCCAGAGTTATGGTCCATAAAAAAACTCCATAACTAATGTTAAACCATATATCTGTACAAAGGGAGATAACTCATTTTTTAAAAGACATTCTTTGGTAAATTGAGGAATTTTGTGGCAGGTTTATATGTTATTTTGTATAAACTAATTTTCTGAATGCTACATGTATATCTATATAGACTTAGACTTGTTTATATTTTTTCGTTTGGGCTTGTATTATATTTGCCTTCAGGTTTATATGATCCGTTCATCCTATTTTGACTCCTCAAAATTTAAGAGTCTATCCTAAATTGAGGTAAATTGTATGGCTTTCCAACTACCGTTTCGATTCCTAACTTCACTGAAGAGACATTAATTGTTGAAATCCGGATATGGTGTTCAAAAACCTTTGCACCTTTTGTTTGCGGTATACCATTTTTTCCACAAGTTTATTGTTTTCTGTTTAGTATTAAATTTATAATTAAGATCCATTTATTACTTCGGTGATCCGTTTATTTTGCAATCACCAATGGCAGTCAGCAGGGTTTAAGAACATTTGTTGTTCGACCTGTTAGTCAAATGCGTTTTGTCAAAATATACTTTTCACTTTTTTGGTCTTTTGGAAAATGTTGTTTGTGCTGTATTTAGACCCCTCTAACAAGAAATTTGTTTTGCATGCACACGTATAAAAATTGCGGTTTTTATCCAACGCAATCATAGGTTTGAGCGTTGTTTTCAATTTAGACTTGTTTATATTTTTTCGTTTGGGCTTGTATTATATTTGCATTTGGGTTTATATGATCCGTTCATCCTATTTTGACTCCTCAAAATTCAAGAGTCTATCTTAAATTGAGGTAAATTGTATGGCTTTCCAAATACCGTTTCGATTCCTAACATCACTGAAGAGACATTATTGTCGAAATCCGGATATGGTGTACAAAAACCTTTGCACCTTTTGTTTGCGGTATACCATTTTTTCCACAAGTTTATTGTTTTCTGTTTAGTATTAAATTTATAATTAAGATCCATTTATACATCGGTGATCCGTTTATTTTGCAATCACCAATGGCAGTCAGCAGGGTTTAAGAACATTTGTTGTTCGACCTGTTAGTCAAATGCGTTTTGTTAAAATATACTTTTTCACTTTTTTGGTCTTTTGGAAAATGTTGTTTGTGCTGTATTTAGACCCCTCTAACAAGAAATTTGTTTTGCATGCTTACATATAAAAATTGCGGTTTTTATCCAACGCAATCATAGGTTTAAACATTGTTTTCAATTTAGACTTGTGTATATATATATATATATATATATATATATATTATTAAGTGAAATCCTTTAATTAGATAATAATTTATTTTTATTAAGGTATATATTTCATTACATTACATTGTATAGATAAAAGTTGTTGACATTTTATAGATAAGATACAAATCTATATTAGTTTGTGACAAATGAAAGAAAAATATTTGGAACTATTAATTATATTTGATTGTAATTTGAAAATAGATATACATTATATTACATCATATCTAATTTTAGAGAACTATTAATCATATCTAATGTTAGAGTGTTATAGGTTTTCCACACTTTTTTTTATCATACTTGAAGATATTGATTGACAATTGGTATATAGTTTTATCATGACAAGTTACAGATCAAGTTCAAATTTTTGTTACGGTCTGATAATTTTGTGCAGAGTTATGGTCCTTGGACTTGAAAAAATCTACTCATATATTCAGTTTTTCACACTGTTGATAGTCATGCTTGAAGATATTGACTTGATATTTTCTTTTTGTTTACACCATGACAAGTTATAGAACAAGTTAGCATTTGTTCCAGTATAATGAATTTTTACCCGGTAGGGGAGTCTGTATTGCCATGCAATACTCTCAGAATGCTTGTTCCATCAACTTTTTAAAATTTATTGTGATGTAGATTGTTTTGAAAGATTTAGAATAACTGACCAACTTTTTCTTCCAGGTTAGCATCACATTTCCATAGGGTTACTTGATGGGTAGTAATTAATTGGAGCTGTTTTAAGGTGAGAATTTATTCAACATACAACTTAAATTCATTTATGTTATCTTATGGTGAATGACCCTAAATATTCATATATCAATCATTATTATAGATTTCAATATATAAAGTGGGTCTCATTTGGGTCTAAGCGTGACCCGGGATTGCCGATTTTTTGTAAGCATGACACGTGAAAGTCAAATTATTGTGCCGTGAAAACGGGAAATGAAGTCTAGCGGGACACGGGAAATTACAAAAAACTGAGAATTGCTTACGTACATAGTGTAAGCGGGATACGGGAATCTGACAAAACAGTAAACGGGATCCGGGATCAGAACCCCCCAATGAGACCCCCTATAAATGTTTTACCGTATTAGCAGGTAGGAGAGATAACCTAACTTTTTATTGTTGGGGTAAAACTAGTGATAAAAAAAGCGGATGAGAATTTCTTTCATTCAGTCTTTCATTTTTTTATTACAAATTTCTAAAGAAGTTAAATCCTACATTTTGTCATAGAGAAAACAAATTTTGGGGTAAGTATCAATAAAGCAAGCAATCAGCAAGATAGATATTAATTTTATTATTTTTCAGCAACTTCTGAATTTGATATTTCAAATGATTGTTCAGGTATTTGGGTTCAGTTGTAATATCCAGAAAGTTTACTTTGGTGAATTGTTTTTTTCATTTTGAGATAAATAGCTGCACATTTTTAATATCACATATTTTGGAGTAAACAATAAATATAAAGAGCAAACAAAGAGTTTTTACATACAGTGATACCTGTCAGTGGCAGATCCAAGGAGCATATAGCGTGTAAGACCCCCTTTTTGGTCGCAAAAATAAAGTAAAATCTCATGTTTCTCACAAATAGGAATTTTTTTAGGATAAAATTGTCCAGAAAGATTTTTGCTTCGCTATGCTTGCTGGTTTATAAATAGTTTTAGAAAATTACACTACCCCCCCCCCCCCCCCCCCCCCCCCCCCCCCTTTTCGAAAATCATAGATCCATCCCTGTCTCTTAATTTTATTTGAAAATTGTCACTCAAATTTGATTATACCCCTTAAGATCATTTCAATATTAGGAATTGACAATTGAAATTATTTAACTTTATTTCTTTTACAGTTGAAAGTGTAACTGTTGCTGCCTTGTATGGTAAAATTCTCAGACAATAATCCTGCAAACCATCAGATGATCTGTTGCTAACTATTTTGTAGCATCCATAGACAGTAGTCTTGTAAGCAGAAGAATGAGTTGTTAACATTTTTGATTTTATGCTGTATTGAGTTATACAAATTTTTCACTATTTTTACTTGCATTCAATTATCGTAATATGATTGATGAAAAATAAAACTGTGAAATTATTATTATTTGAGAGGTCCCAAAGATATACCATATGGTTTCACAAAGTTCCATAAAACTTGCATCAGTTTTTTTAAGTTATGTACATGTAAGTCTTACAAGTGCTTTGTGAAATTATTTTGCCTGTTAAAAACCAATCAAGTAGGACTTTGATGGCCAAATTCTAAAGGGAATATAAAAAAAATCCCCTATTTAACAATTTAAGTACTGAGTTTTTGATGCATTAAAAGATAAAAATAAAAATGTTTGGTTAGTTGTTTGGACTCCACTTTCTGCATATTTATGAAAACTAATGGCTGTCAGTTTTATTTATTGGTTTTGTTTATATATTATAAATGCATTTTTCAGCATCTGAGGTCACTCAAGTGAAAATAATTACACAGTTTTTGCAGTTTGTTTTATTTTTTCATTTTTATATGATTGATTCAGTACTGTTAGTTAATTTGAATAATTTTGATATTTAATAATGATACCTAACCCTTGTCATCATGCAGATCTTTTTCCTCCTTTTACTTGTAAAGATGACCAAAAACTTATTATTACAGTATAATTTCTTTGATATTTATACACACTTGGTGAAGTAGATTGTGTCTTGTTTCATTTGGGAATGTTTTACTATGATGCATGATAATAATATAAATAAATTAGTAAATAAAATTTATTTGAGAAAACCTATCTTATATTTTATTTGAGTCCAAATAAAGGGGGAAGAGGTTTCTGTGGTCGAGGGTATGACCCAGCTGATTTATATTTCCATCACTTGGTGTCTTTCATCATCATCCTTTAAATTTTTAGAAATGTTGAAGAAACTTCTTGGCTAGTTTGAACAAGACTTTGAACAAATGATACTTTATGCATTACCTTACAGATCTTGCAGAAGAGGTGTCTTTGTATAAAACTTTCATTATCCAGACTGTACAAGTTCTAGTTAATCCATATGTCTTATGCAGTTGCCTTATGGTCTGATTTTCATCTGGCATATGACCATTGTCTTGACTTCATTTTTAAGGTACAATGACCATTTAAAAAGTGTATTATAGTCTTTTTATCACATCAATTTGACCGTTTTTATGTGTTACATGTGTAAGGACATTACTCTGTGGTTGTTGTCTATTATCTTTTTCTCAATGAAGAGATATTCTGTATCACATTGCAAGGATTGTGGTATGAAAACGTCATATGAAAAATCTGTTAATATGATTGGCTTATCCAGCACCATTTGGTCAACATTTAGTTTTCATGCTTAGGTCTGTCCATCCTATTTCTCAGATACTCTTAAGTAAAAGGTCAACACTATATGGTGTACAGAATGATTGTAATATGAATATGATTCTGATGAGGTACATCTGACCTTGACCTCATTTTTATGTTTGGTCAACATTAGCATTTTATGATTAGGTCCCTACTATAGGTGTCAGACCACCAATTCAAAATCCCTATCTATTCAACCAAATTTTGCAATTTTCACAGCTTTCTAAATATTTTACCTTAAGTTTAACTTCATAGAAACCAGGTATATCCTGAATTGTACATGTATCACCTTTATACATGCCAATTTTCAACCCATGTTTAAAGTCTTCTAAGAAAAAAATGCCCATCACAAAATAAGTACTACTAAAAATAACCCCTGGTTTTCTGGAAATCTTAAATAAGTATACTATGGAGCACATTGATCCTCAATTTTTAATGCAAACTCATAGACAAGTAAATTTTGGCTCAAAATGGTCTAAATATATTTCTCTTTCACCAAAAGTTTCATTTCTGCAAATTTGTTGGTTAGTTTAAGTAAACAATGACATCAAAAGCACTATTTTGTGTCCGAGTAGGGCTACTTTTACATACGTTCTAAATTGGAGGGAGTGAATTGGTGGTCTGATACCTACAATAGTGAGTGTATAGAATTGCTTGCAAGGTGTAATATGGTTTACATTTCCATCTGACAGGGTTTATCTGAAATTGAACTTATTCTAATGGATCATTGAAAATGTAAATTTTTTGTTACATCTACCTGTACGAACTGTGACGCCCGTATATGACACGGAAACCAGGCGTAAAAATCATACTTTATCCGGGCGTCATTGCAGTGTTTAAGGAATGCATGTCCAGGCGTCAACCAGGCGTAAACCAGGCGGAAACCAAGCGTAACTGAGGCGGAAACCAGGCGTAAAATTAGGCGTAATATTTAAATGAGTACGCCTGGTCCAGAGAAAACCAGGCGTAATATGCAAATGAGTACGCCTGGTCAATAAATAAACCAGGCGTAATATCCTTACATAATACTACACTTATTTCAAATCAGTGTATTACCCTAGCTGTGTTCTTTTGTGTATTTAATACAAACTTCTGTACTGTTGCTTTAATTTCTCATTGTTTGACATAAAACTGGAAATATTAACCATTGAAGAAGCTAATATATAATTAAATAAATACATTTTAGACAGACACTGCCACTGGCTCAAATAAGTTTAAAGTTTAAATAAGAATTATGACAATTAATTTTTCTTGAAATAAAACTTAAGCATTTTAATTAACTAAGTTTTTTATAAATTAATGTCCTTTAAAATATAATGATAATACTGCAATTTAACTTCATGTAAAAGATTTTAATGTTATTAAACCAAGGTTAAAGGTTTTGGGATTTCAAAATTACTGTTAGAACTTAAAACTTAATAATTTAGATTATACTCACATAATTATTATTTACCGTTTTTTACTTTCCATTTTTTCACAATTTTTATCAATCAATTTGATTCCATATTTCCAATTTCCAATTCTTTCAAAAAGCACAAAACAAGCTATTTATTATCCCTGAACATATGAAGCTGCCATAAGTCCAACTCTTGCAAACAAAAACCAAAGAGCCAAATTTTGAAAAAAATTCCCATGATCCTTTAAACAAAGCATTATGGGTATTATGATTTACGCCATACCAACAGTTTTACGCCCGTAAGAAAATTTACGCCTTGCTTATTTCAATTTACGCCAGGTTTACCACTTTTTTCTACGCCCGTAAGGACTACAAATTTACGTTTCCTGCTCCCTTACACCTGGATCTAGACACGTAAGTACCACTTACGCCTGGTTTACGCCTTATTTCCAGGCGTTATACGCCTTATAATTTCATACGGGTGGATTCAAATCTGTATTATTGGTCTGAAAAGACTTTCAACATAGAATTCAAGTAGCATCTGTTACACAAGCAGGACAATTCCCTTTGTGCATTCCTGTCCAAATCATAAAGGCAATTGGAACAAAATTTTTAGCACATAGTTCTTTGAACATCTATTTTTTTTTTTTTTTAAATATTTTGGCAAATAACACAGTTAAAAAAATAGGGTGTTTAAAGAACAATGTCCTAAAAATTTTGTTATATGATCTACACATGGCTTGTAACTGCCAAAAATGTATCCGTTTGTCTCCCTTGAATACGGTCTGGATGGGGTTAACAGAATAGAGAATAATGGGGAAAAAATATAAAGAATGGACAAAAAAAAAAAAAAAAAGAAAATAACGGGGTGCTGAAATATAAAGAATAGAGAAAAATGACCTAAAACATTAATAAAAGAATACAGAAATGAAGGACCCCCATCCAGACCATCTGCAATGCATATGGTATTAGCAGAAGTCCATTACTAGAGGAAGTGTGCAATCTGTGCTATATAGTAAGGCGATCACGATGTCCCCAAAATCAATGGAAAGCGTCATAGGTGGTCCTCCCAAATCTCGTTTTATAACAATGGAATCATGGGTAAAAATATTATCATAAAAAAGATAACTGTTAATTAATCTCTCTTGGTTTTTGTCGAGCCTGCGACTTTTGTCGCAAAAGTGAGACATAGCGATCCTACATTCCGTCGTCGTCGTCGGCGGCGGCGTCCACAAATATTCATTCTGTGGTTAAAGTTTTTGAAATTTTAATAACTTTCTTAAACTATCCTGGATTTCTACCAAACTTGGACAGAAGCTTGTTTATGATCATAAGATAAGTATCCAGAAGTAAATTTTGTAAAAAAAAATTCTGTTTTTCCGTATTTTACTTATAAATGGACTTAGTTTTTCTGCCAGTTAACATTACATTCACTCTGTGGTTAAAGTTTTTAAAATTTTAATAACTTTCTTAAAATATCCTGGATTTCTACCAAACTTGGACAGAAGCTTGTTTATGATCATAAAATAGTATCCAGGAGTAAAATTTGTAAAAAAAAAATCCTGTTTATCCGTATTTTACTTATAAATGGACTTAGTTTTTCTGCCAGTTAACATTACATTCACTCTGTGGTTAAAGTTTAAAATTTTTTAATAACTTTCTTAAACTATCCTGGATTTGTACCAAACTTGGACGGAAGCTTGTTTATGATCAAAAGCTAGTATCTAGAAGGAAATTTTGTAAAATTTATTTCCTGTTTTTCCGTATATTACTTATAAATGGACTTAGTTTTTCTTCCAGTTAACATTACATACAGTCTGAAGTTAAAAGTTTTTAAAACATTTATTAGATTCATAAACCATCCTGGATTTTTACCAAACTAGGACAGAAGCTTCTTTCAATCAAAAGATAGTATCTAGAGAAAAATGTAAAAATTATCTTCTTTATCATTTGTTCATTCAATAAATTTATGTTTCAACTCTTTTATAAATCTATAGATTTGATTGCATACTGTATTCATTTTTTACAAGCATAACTTTTTTCATACACTTCAAACGTTTTATTTCATTAACTGTAAATCTATTATGTGCATTCCCCTATCACACTGAAAACATAGACAACAGCAAAAGTAGGCGAGACACTGGGTTCTGCGGAACCCTTACGAATTTTCGATAAAATGAATAAAGCCAACAAAGATTCAAGTAAATTGATATCTCCTCATTTCTTCTATATAATATATACGGAGGCCTTATCACGAAATAGTCATATGCGATCATATGCGGGAAGCTTCACTAAATACAGGTGAAAATACTATGGTTAATATAATGTCTGCATCCAGAAAATGATATATAGAAATTTTATTCTTTTATTCGAGCTGAGACTACTGAGATATAAAACATTAAAGATTCGGAAAATAAA